TGGAGACAGCCATGTAGCTTGGTGGATGTTCTTATGCTGGAACCTAGTGACTAGTACACCTCCTAAATTTGGAGTTAATTGCAAAAAATGGCAAAAACGGGTCAAACGGACCTCGGATTCGGATTCAGTGGGTCGAAATATGTGGCGGCAAGTGGGTCTGGTTAAAAGCATATACCATTTTTTTTGTGCCGGTGTAGGGAATGGGTTAGGAGGGTGGTCTTCGGCTCGATAACTTGGCAGTTTTCCAGAATAACGTAGCCTTCATTTTCCAATGTATTCTACCTTGGTTTTAAATTCGAAATCCAGCCCGCTTTCGAGGAAAATTTTTGTGAAATGGAGCTTATCTTTCTTTTAGACAATGGCTTTAGTTGCTTTTAAAAGTTTCAAATAAGCCTTTTGCTATAAACTTTTGGTTTACGCTTTTTAACTTATTGCAAGTTCTTTTCAAAAACTCCGTTAGAAATGCTTGTTAGATCAGACTTCAGCTATTAAAAGCAATGTCTATTCAATTTACAAAAAGAAAGAGGTCATAAATATGTATATGTAAACAAAGCAATCTGATTTTTGTTAACTTTTCGCGTTTGCCCTAAAAATACTTGCAAGTACGAGTATTATCGATACTTTTTTCCAAATATGAGTACTGGCATCAATTATTTTTTAGAGTATTATAAATGAGTACTAGTATCGATACTTTTCTAAAAAGTTCTATCACTAGATATATCAAAGGCGTTTGAAACCGTTTGTCATTCCCCGCTACTAAGACATTGAGGCTCTCTTCCACAGGGACTCAAACGTTGGTCAGCCAATTATTTGACTGGTCTACATTCGTCAGTTATTTTCCGAGGAAAATTAAACAGGGGTTCCACGGTTTCCCCGCTGCTGTTTAATTCAATTTATTACATATTAAAGCCCCCTAAACAAGCAGAGGAAGTCTCCATTGTCTCTTTTGATGACGATTGCTCGATAATGGCGTCCGGGAAGGGGATTTATGACTTGCGCTCTCCGAACTTTCTCGCTTCTTCACTGCAAGGAGCCTAACCCTCGCCCCTACGACATTCACTGGGAGTCGGTCTCGACTTACATCCACTCCCGACCTATGAATGCCGCTTTGGGAACACAGCCACCAGGCGTGGATGAGACAGAACTTCGTCTGCTTCGGGAGACTCGCACCACCATAGCCCAACTTCGCTCTGGATACTCCAGCAGGCTAAGCTCCTATCTGAGTAGGATCAACGACTTGCGACATATCTTCGCATGCCCTTAAACCCCACTCAACTCAACTAACGCCCCTCGACCATTTGGTCCAACCCAGTCTGTTTGGCACACTTCCTGGGCCTGCCGTTGGTTGAACTTGACGACAACGATTGAGGGACAGACCGATCTAGGCAGGGCTAAGTAAGCCGCAACGGCAAAAAAAATCTCTCTGATACCTTGATGACTACTCTAGACAGATAAGCTTCTGGTCGGAACTGCAAATCCTTTGTAGAACGGCACTGCATTCAGTGCTTCTGTGAAGAGCTTTCATTATATGAATTTAGAGATATTTATATCATCGTCCTCATGAGAGGAGATAAACAAAATAAAATTTAATTTTTTTATGTTGATCGGAAACTGGACTCGACCCAGGCTCTGCAAAACGGTAGCGCGCACTGCTAACAACAATGCCACAGTGGCCGCTGAAATTATACTTTTTCAAATATCTTGACTCTAGCGCCACCTGGTGTAGAATATTAAGACCCCCAAGCAAGATCTTCATGCTATGCTTTGAGAACATAAAATATTATGATAATATTTGAATCAAAATTGGTTTCATGTAAAAAGCCGTACACTTTGTTCTAAATAAATATCGTTCATTATCCTCAGGAGGAAAAATCTGCATATCATAACATAATAGCAGATACATTTTATTAAAACTGTTGGCTGATCAATCAAATAAGCTTTTGGTTCTAAGTTATAGCTTTCGCAATTGTCCGTCAGGTGATGAGTAAAAGCAGTAATAATAAAAAAAAAACTTTTTTGTAGACTTAATATTTTATACATTACGTATACGTTTTTCTTCCACCCTAAATGTTCTNCAATTGTCCGTCAGGTGATGAGTAAAAGCAGTAATAATAAAAAAAAAACTTTTTTGTGGACTTAATATTTTATACATTACGTATACGTTTTTCTTCCACCCTAAATGTTCTGAAAATTAGTCGAATGTACCACCACATAGGTTCCCATTTTGCAAAAAAAACTATTACCTGTTGTTTGAATAATGCGGTTCCCAAGGTACCACGTATCTAAGAAAAAAAATCTACCTTATCCCTAATTTCACGTAAATAAATATCCCCAAAATTATAAATAGACTGCGGATTTTTATGCAGAAAACGGAGCCTAGAAATATGTACCACATAACTATAAGCAAAGTGTATAAATTTTAATACATATTGTTTATAGTTAATCGGTGCATATTTTTAGGCTCCTTTTTTTTGCATTAAAAACCGCAGTCTAATTATAAGGCNTACATATTGTTTATAGTTAATCGGTGCATATTTTTAGGCTCCTTTTTTTTTGCATTAAAAACCGCAGTCTAATTATAAGGCAAAAAAAAATGCCTTGGTTTTTGTTTTGCCTGTTAAATTATGGGAACGATTTATTCACATGGAATTGGCGATAAGGCTGAATGTTAAATTAGTATATAACAACAGGAGTTCCAATTCAAATTCCTATTCGCAGGCAAGAAAGCACAAAACGAGTTGGAGGAGGAGAAGTTCAAAGTGCGTGATGAGTTGGATGCCTTGAAGAAACAACATCTCGATAATGAATCACAAATCAAGGAGCTTACAGCTAAATTCAATAAAATGAGTAACGAACGCAATGCACTGGACAAATTGCACAAAATGAAAATCGAAAAAATTACAAGGTGAATCTAAAATTCTGCTATTATATAACAGTAATTTTTGTAAGTTTCCATTTCTTTCCATTGACTGTATAGCCTGGAGCATGAATTAGAGTCGTTGCAGGAAAAGCAAAAGCTTCTAGCAGTAAGTCGTCCGACCTCGACTCTGAATGTGGCACCCGTTGCTTCGGCGAGCTTGAGAAGCAAATTGCTGAAGATTATACCCACACTGAACAGCAACGAAATGGAAAGCGTTGTCGATGTGGAACCCACAGCAGCACTGCCCATCACAAGTGATCTTGTTGAGCGTTTGGTTGACGAATTTCAGACATTGAAGAACGCCATGAATGTGGTGGAACTGCAGCTGTATGAAGCTAATGAGAAAATAGCCGAGTTGTTGGAGAATGTAAGTACATATTCCATTTAGCAAAAAAAATGTGAAATGTGAAATTTAAAATTCTTGCAGCAACACCACTTGGAGGAGGAAAACGAAACGTTGCGGACGGAAAATACAAATCTGACCAAAGTCGCCAAACTGTTAACGGAAAATATGAAGGAGAGCGTTGAGACAAGCAAGAAGTAATAACAAAAAAAATAAAAATAATTGATGTAACATTAAATGATATTTATTAACACATTATTCTATTATTAGAATGGAGGTAGCGCTCATAAAATTAAAGCAACGCAACGATGAATTAAATGCAAAGACGCGCGACATTACTGATGGCCAGCCTGAGCAAAGTCCTTCGCCAACCACGGTCAAGGCAAATGAAGAGTTCGAACAAATTAAGGAAGAAGTCGAAAGTCAAAATCGGGATCATAATGAGCGCATTGTGGAAATGGTAAGTTAACGTTGCACGATTACCAATCAGCTTTGATATCAAAGAAATATGGCCATTTCATTAAAGCGTGCAATAAGCACCCTGTCCATGTGCAACCTTTGTGTTGAGTTTTACGAAATGGACATCGCTGCTTAAATCAACTCAAAACTTGGAAAATGGTTTTTAAATCTCTTCGAGACTGGTTAAATGCCACTTGTAGAGGCACATATTTCTGCCAGCGCCTTGGTTGCTACTTATATATAAATTCTAAAACATACTTTTAAGCTACAATTTTTATTAATTTTTTTTTTCAAAATACTAATTGATGAATTTTTGCACATTTAGGGCTTTAAAAGAGTCTCTGGCTTCTTTAGGCCTTTACAAAACATATTTAAAAGCTCTTAAATACAAAACGTCCTGCACAAATACCAAAAACATGTCAAAAAACTACATAAGTACTGCATACATCCACACAATCTATGTATGTATATTGGCGCAACGAGCTTGTTCTGGGGTGGAGGTGAAAAAGTATTAAGTACATGGCGTTATTTTACAGCAATTGTGATACGGAGTAAGACCAGAATAAAGACACCTTCATACCATTTATCTGACTGTATCTGTGATGTTGGGCTTCATGCATTAATCATAACCAGCGGCGGCGGCGGCTGTTTGTTACTTGTTTCTCTGCATGAAGAATTATTTTGTTGTCTGTGTTTTTACGTTTATAATATTTTGTGCTTAATTTAAAAAAAAAAGGTTAGGGGAAGTAACTAAAAATTATGCTAGTGAAACTAATGGAAATATGTTAGCAAGTTATTTCACTTTTTTAAAATGAATGAACTGAAACTGCTATATTTTGTGTAATGGGATTTATTAGTAGATGGACAGGTTGGGGTTAGCCTAAAGCAAGGCATTGAAGTCACTATTCGAAACCAATTCCAAAGTTATAGAACATTCTGAAAATATTTATGTACTCGTCACAAGCGGTTTTTCCGATACATTTTTTTCTTATCTTGGCTATGCTCTTAAGGCCAGCCAGATGTTGGGATGCATATTTACACTGACGGTTCAAAATGTAGGAAGGAGCGGGAGCTGCATTTTACTGCCCTTGACCGAAATAAATCTGACGATTGTGCGCATAAACATTCATATTGACAGTCAGGCTGTCGCCCATAAGACCCTACTCGAAGACTATTGTACATAGATTGTAAGACGGCAATAGGAAGACAATGTTTTTTAATAATATTTATGTAAATACTGATGAATATTTCTGTCAGCTTTGTCAATACTTAGGTCAGGCTGGCCAATGTGATGTCATTGCTGAGAAATATTTTTCCTGATCAGGATTAATGTTAGGCAAAGCAATGTTTATGTTAGTACTGGCCAATATTCCGAAATGTTTCGAAAAATACAGAAAAAACCCGAAGAATTTCCGTAATGTAAAACACGAAGAATCGCGAAATGTTCCGTAAAATTGCTAAATGGCTATAAACAAATCCTAAAAAAAATTAAAATAAACGGAAATTTCACTTTCATTTCAAACTTTCCTTTTTAACAAAATTGGGAAGGTGAAATGCATTATTTTTAAGCGTCGCATAGTGGTCTGAATACAGAATCTAGCGGGTCAAAACTATTTTAACAGATGCGGATTTGTACACCAGTTCGTATCTACTAGCTTATGGGGCTTCTGATTACAAATCTTCAGGTAGGTTTCATAAATCCAATATGGCGGACACATTTTTTTAAAAATTATCGAACTCGCTCAAAACTTGTTACTCGGCGGTTTTTGGTAGTATTATGGAGTTTTTTTTTTTATAGCTGATTAGGTATCTGAAAGCAGGTTTCAAAAATTTTAAACGATGGGTCCAATATGACGGCTTTATAATTTAAAAAAAATTAGTGGGTTTTAATAGAACATAGTGAAAATTAAGTTCTTAAATTCAAATATTAAATAAAGTTGGCAAAAGTTGGCTATAATTTTCTGTGTATGTGTAGTTTATATGTTAAGTAATAACAATATGTCAATAGATTTGTGGCAAAATTTGGCAAAAGTTTTTTTCTGGAATTTTGATATCTAATATAATTACATTTTACTTACAGTATCGGGCATATCTATAGCACACCATTTCAAAGTGATATTGTGTGCCACTTATGTTTATTTATTTATTTTTAAGAATTTTCAATTAAAATACAGTTCTTTCTCTAACAAAACCCATACAAACCCAAGTTTAAAAATTTGTAGAAAACTACAAAAAAGTGCAACAAATTTTCACCTAAATTTAAAACTTTTTTCTCGGCAGTGTTTGAATTTTTCTGAATACACAGTTTTATAGCCCAATCAATTTTAGTCTGATGATGTGCAAGTTTCAAGTGGCTAAAAGTTACCGTTGATTTTTTAGAATTTTTTTTTGCCAAAGGTGTTGCGGTTTTCATCCATATACAAAAAAATTGAGTTTATTCATTATATGGAAGCCAATGCCAAATTCTAAAAAATTAACGGTAATTCGTAGCCACTTGAAATTTGCACATTATCAGACTAAAATTGCAGGGGCTAAAAAACTGTGCACTCAAAAAAATTCTAACACTTCCGGGAAAAAAGTTTCAAACTTAGGTGAAAATTTGTTACCCTTTTTTGTAGTTTTCTACAAATTGTTGAACTTGGGTATATATGGGGTCTGTCTGAGAATGAACTAAATTTTAATTGAAAATTCTTAAAAATAAGTAAATGAACATAAGGGGCACACAATATCACTTGGAAATGGCGTGCTATAGATATGACCGATACTGTATACCTACAAGAATCTATGTATTCTTATCACTATTCCCAGCAAGCATTTGGAGTCATAAATGAGTCTTTAAGGAGTCCCATTTCGGAGCCTTT